CCTCTCCTCAAAGGAGACCAATTCTTAAGTGCTAGCCCCTGTGGGTATAATATTCGTCTGCTCTGTCCCAAGGACCACACAAAGTATCTGTGCAGTCCTCAGTGTAATTCGGATTCCCCAGCAATGTCTCTCACCAGGTAACCAGGAAGCCCTGAGTGTCTGGAGTCTCCCATTGTGACTGCCCAAAGTCCCAGTCATACTGTGCGGCCTCCCACACAACTTCAGTTGTTTTTTTTTTTTTTTCACAGTCCTGGTACAGAAGCCTCACACAATCACAACCTCCTAGCACTCTGTTAGTTCTCCCCACCAGAGTCAGGAGTCTCTACTTGGCTTGTTGCTGGTCATGACATGAGGTGGCGCAGCTGTTATGTATGTCCAAAATGGTGCCAGCTCTATTGGCTTGTTACAGCATGCTTTTGTTAGTGCTCAGGGTGAGAGAAACCTGTCCATCCTGTCCTTTATTTCCCCTCCATTTTGGCAGGTCACTATCCCCCCTGGGGCTCTAAGCAGGATTCCCTTTAGATTCTTCCTGCAGCTTTTCTGCCATTGGCTTGGGCTGCTGTGGTCTGGTCTCACCTCAGTTTCCAATGCTTGTGCGTAGGCTCTTGGCTGCTGGAGTTCCAAGTTGTGGGCATCTATGCCCTCCACATAGGTCCACCATGTCTGTTTAATTTTAGTAGGTTTCCTCTGCCGTTTTCTCCCTAACTCTTCCCTGAGCCTACACTCTCCACTTTTTAAAAACTATCTTCTCCTGGACTAGAGCGGTAAGCTCCCTCCATACTTCACCATCTTAGAACTGCCCTCTAGGACAATTTTTTTTGACAGGCAGAGTTAGACAGTGGGAGAGAGAGACAGAGAGAAAGGTCTTCCTTCTTCGTTGGTTCACCCCCCAAATGGCTGCTAAGGCCAGCGCACCGTGCCGATCTGAAGCCAGGAGCCAGGTGCTTCCTCCTGGTCTCCCATGTGGGTGCAGGGCCCAAGGACTTGGGCCATCCTCCACTGTACTCTCAGGCCAGAGAGCTGGACTGGAAGAGGAGCAACCGGGACAGAATCCAGCGCCCCAACCGGAACTAGAACCTGGGGTGCCGGCGCCGCAGGTGGAGGATTAGCCTAGTGAGCCGCGGCGCTGGCCATCTAGGACAAATTTTAACCTGGAAAATGAATCCAAGAGGGAAATCCTGACAGGTACCTGTAGGGGTAGTGAAAAGAAGCAAAGAAGGCCCATTGCAACTGGGTTAGAGTTGCTTTGGTTTCAGGGGTTTTACATAGACCCAATTACCTGGGTTAATTTGTATTGGAGAGGAGTTGAGGTTTGGTTTAGGGAGAAAAGAATCCAAGAAGCAGGGTAGGAGTTTCTGTGTCTGGGCTGCTGTTGGACTGTAGTCTCCAAGAGAGGAAAGTAAAGAGGGAAAGTTCCCTTAAAAAATGCAGCCAACAAGAAGGCTAAGCTGGTATGGAAAGTGGGGTGTGATGCAAATTCACATAAGCACATTGGGAAGGACAGAAAGCCGGGCAGCTTGAGTCTGAAGCTTAAGTTTTGTGAGATGGGTCTTAATGAAGCCGTTTGCTTTGTCCACCTTGCTTAGGGATTGTGGGTGATATGGGATGTGCTGTTTCCAGCTTATGTTTAGGGCCATGAATAGCCCCCTGGGCAATCTGAGAAGTGAAAGCTGGCCCATGGTCTGCCTTAGTTTGGGGAGGCCAAACTGAGGGATGATGCTTTCTTTTACAAGAAAAGTTATTTCCGCTTCCACCTTTCCTGACAAGCAAGGGAAGGCCTTCACCCACCCAGAAAAGACAGGTAAATACTTTGTCTTTTCTACTAGAGGCAAATGATAAAGTCTGTCTGCCAGTCCTGTCCACACATTTGCCCTCTGGCCTGGTGGGTGGGGAAAGATAGGGGTCTAAGATGGCACTGGGGGAAGGTCTTTTGGCAGATGGGACAGGAATGAGCGATAACACAGAGGTGGGAAAGATAAAGGTCATCTGTGAGGCAGGAAAGTAGAATGAGGGGTTTGCTGCCTACATGAAATTGGTTGTGAAGGGAGGTGAGAAGACCCAAAGCTCCTTGTTGAATTATTACCTGGCCATTCTTAAGAAACCAGCTGGTCTGTGTAATTGCTCCTTGTAAGGGTGAATTCATCTTTTCTTCTGGTGGGTACAGGGGATGGTCAAAGGGGAGGGTGAAAAGCAGGGAGATTGGTGGGAAGTTGGTCTGGGCAACCTGCTATTTTGCCTGTCAGCTTTGTTGTTTCCAGCTGCAATAAATGACTTGTTTTTGTTTTTCTTTTTGTTTTGTTTTTGGTATTCCCTGCAATGGAGGATGGCTACTTGCTGTGGAAGTATTGCTGCCTGAATTAATTTTAGAATGAGAATGCCTCTGATGATGGGGCAGCCCCAGGTTGTAATATATCCTCCTTCTGACCAAATGGGAGCATAGCATATATGATATGATAGGTAGGTTTGAAGCCCTATATATATTTACTTTTGGGCCTTTGGTCAGAGTGAGTGTTCAGCAAGGGCAGTAAGTTCTGCCTGTTGTGAGGTGGTACCTGAAGATAAAGGACTTGACTCTATAATAAACTTGATAGTGATGACAGCATAGTCCGACAATGAGGAGCCCTTAGTCATAGGAGAGTTCTTATTTTTAAACCAGTAAGGGGTGTGTTCAGGTAAGGTGGAATCAGAGATGTTGTGAAAGGGGCTTACGAATAGAACAAGCCTTTAATCATAGTTGTCTTGGAAGTCTTTGGAGTTAGTGAGGCTAAGATTGGACAGAGAGTTGCTGGATTAAGAGAGAAGCATTTCCGAAGTGTAACATTAGGGTTTTGTAGAAGGATGGTGTGAAGCATTTGTAAACAGGTGGCGGAGATCATGAAAATGGACTGGTGAGACAAAAGGGCTTGAATAGCATGTGAGATGTGTACAGTGAGATTTTGAGAAACAGCCAGTTTTGACCTTCTAATATTAACTGTGAAGTTGCAAAAAGAATGGAAAGACAGGTTGTCCAATCCACCACAGTTTTATCCAGCTGTTTAGAGAAGTAAGCTATTGTTTGGTTTATTGGGGTCAGAAAATTGGGCAAGGAGTCCAAGTACAAAACCCCTTTCTGTGTCTATATATAAATGAAAGGGTTTAGAGGGATTTGGAAAGCAAGGGCCAGGGCTGAAATGAGGGCCTTTTTTAGTTGGATACATGCTATTCTGACAGAGGCCAAGGTTCAAGGGTGTGAATGGAATCTCCTGAGGATGCCCAATAGAGGGGTCTAGTGATAAGACTGACATTGGTTATCTATATATGGAAGAAACTGGACAATCCCAAAAGGACAATAAGACTGATTTTATTAAGGGATGAGGACTTGGTCAATTAAAGACTTATGGTCTTGGATAAGCCCCCAGGGTATGAGTGTAATGTGTAATCCTAGATAGGTGACTTTGGTTTTGAACAACTGACCCCTTTGGGGAAAAACTTGATATTCCCAGTGGGCTAGGAAGTTGAGGAGTTGAATTGTCTGAGAAATTATTGATTTAAGGGGAGGCTACACATGAGGAGGCCATCTATGTATAAGAGAAGAGTGCTGGGCTATAAAGACAATAGGAAGAGGTCATTTGATAAAACCTGCCTGAAGATGTGGGGACTATCGCAAAACACCTGAGGGAAGACTGTCCAGGTTTGCTGTCGGGGAATTTTATTACAGAAATCTGTCCAGGGAAATTCAAAAAGATCTTGAGAGGAAGGGTCAAGTGGGATAGTAAAGAGAATTTCCTTGAGGTTTATTACAGTGAAGTAACTAGTCTGTTGGGTATAGAAGAGAGAAGTGTTAGGGACAACTGGAACTATGGGGATTATAGCCTCATTTATGATAGGTAAATCTTGCACCAAGGTAGTTGGGGGAGAACAAGAAGAAGGAGGAGAATGGGATAGATAAGGAGAGGATGGGGGTAGGCATCATGGCATAGCAGGTAAAGCCACCACCTGCAATGCTGGCATCCCATATGGGTGCTGGTTGAAGTCCTGGCTGCCCTACTTCTGATCCAGCTCCCTGCTAGTGTCCTGGGAAGGCAATGGAAGATGGCCTAAGCCCCTGGGCTCCTGCCACCCACCTGAGAGACCTAGAAGAAGCTCCTGGCTCCTGGCTCCTGGCTCCTGGCTTTGGCTCAGCCCAGCTTTGGTCATTGTAGCTGTCTGAGAAGTGAAAGATCTCTCTCTCTCTCTCTCTCTCTCTCTCTCTCTCTCTCTCCCCCATTCAAATAAATAACTATATCCTTTAAAAATGGAGGAGGAGGGAACAAATCCTCTCAGGGTGGTTGTTTGGAGTGGGAATATATGGTGGGGAGAGAGCATGGAGAAGGAGGCTGAGATGAGGTTTGGAGGGTGAGAAGGATTCCTCAGAGGGTGCTGGGGGCATAATGAGGATGGGGCAGAGGGGAATGACCAGCAGAATCAAAGTCAAGATCAGACTTTAGGGGCTCAGGGGCTACAGGTTTGGCTCTTCCCCTAAGAGGCTCAGGGGGTTGGGGGTTTAATCTACCTGAGGAGGGGAATCTTATAGGTGGTGAAGACTGACAGAGTGAAGGGTGATTATGAGCTAGAAGAATGCCTGTACATAGGGAACCTCAGATGGTTTTCCATTGAGGTTGATGAAGTTGTATATGTCTTGGAGAATTTAGGAGTCAAGGGTCCCATTTTGGGGCCATTGCCTATTACTTTCTTATCTATATTGCAGCCAAACTGAATTTCAGAAAAAGATGAGTCTCTGGATTCATTTACCCACCATGTATAGGGTCTTAAGATTATGGAGACACTTAAGAGGAGGAGTCCTAGAGAGTCACAATGGCTGGATCTCTTACTCCACCTTAAAATAGGAAGACTGTCTCTGAGCTCCAGGCATCCCTGGGGTTGGAGGTGTTGAGCTAGAGGGGATTATCCCAAGCCACAGGAGGGACCTTGAGCTAGTGCTAGGATTTTCAGACCAGAGAAAAAATGTGGCAGGGCCATCCTGAGGGGACTCAGAAGGACTGACCTCACTTCCCTGGAGCTTGACAAGAGTGGTATGTCCAAGGAGCAATGGAGAAGAGGAGATTCTCCACGGACCAACTGCCTCAGAATCACCTTCCTGGGTTTTGGCAACAAATGTTAGATTTAGGGGTCTTAACTGAGATTTCAGCCAACCCAGAAGCAGATGGGGAATCCCTTTTTAAGCTACTTGTTGGGGAGGGGGTCTTGTGTATATACGGAAATCCACATGGATCACAATAAGGTAGGCCTGAATGTGCAGAAAGCCCCATTGGCATTTGTCAGCTGAAGCCTTTTATTTACAATGTATATTCTGTCTGGTATGTCTTGGGAGACACACTCATAAAAGTGTGTGCTTGGCTGATGGAATACTGAGCAATAGGTTTTAGGGTATCTATTTGCACCTGATTTGATCAGATTTGGGATTAACTATTTGTGCCCTAATGGCCTAACAGATCTTAACACTGTTGAATATCAAGTTTCCAGACATTCTTGGGTTTATTGTTATCTTTTATGTTCTATTGGTCTATTCTTTCTATATCTACATTAACACATCATTCTTTTAAATACCATATATTTAAAATAAGTTTTAGTATCAAATATAGTGAATTTAAGTAAATCTTTTGAATTCTCACATACACACCTGAGTAACACCACATAGATCAACAGTATTTTTAACACATAGAAGCTCCCTGAGGCCTTTTTCTACCCAACCACCTTTCTTAGGGGTAACCCCTATTTTAGCTTATATTACCATTAACTGTTTTTCAGCTTCATTTAATGAACCAAGATATTACAGTTTGACAACCTCATGTGTGTTGCTGTGTGTCACAGTATTTTTGTGTTGTACAGAATTCACAGTGTAGTATAAACAGTGTAAATGTATGAAGGTAACGTGAATACCCATCAGTTGTTTCCCAGCTTGGGACTACAATGAATAAGCCTGCCAGGAACATTCCTGAGTATGTCTTTTTTTTTTTTAAAAAAAAAGATTTATTTTATTTATTTGAAAGACAGAGCCACAGAGAGAGGTAAAGACAGAGAGGTCTTTCATCTTCTGGTTCACTCCCCAGATGACTGCAATGACTGGACCTGCGCCAATCCTCAGCCAGGAGCCAGGAGCTTCTTCCAGGTCTCCCATGTGGGTACAGGGGCTCAAGGACTTGGGCCAACCTCTACTGCTTTCCCAGGCCATAGCAGAGAGCTGGATCAGAAGAGGAGCAGCAGGAACTCGAACCGGCACCCATATGGAATGCTGGTGCCTCGGGCCAGGGCTTCAACCTGCTGCGCCACAGTGCCGGCTCCCTGAGTATGTCTTTTAGTGGATGCATGCTTATATGTCATATCCATGGTTGACAATCAGAAAAAGAACTCTTTTCCCAAATTCCATAAATTACTGATATGCTTCATGGGAGCGGGAAGAGTGTTAGGACTGACATCAATATGGTGCATTTAAAAAGATTGACATTCTCTGGTGCCCATGTAGAGATGAAAGAGCCCGAAAACAGCAACCGCCAGGCATTAAGGAACTCTGGTGAGCTGAGCCACGCTCTCTGGTGTGGAGTGTTCTTCAACCTTTAGAAGAGAAGCAGGTGTTTGCTTTAGATTCGGGGGAAACACTGGGACAGGTCATCTTAGGCCCATGTCCTGCCTCTGGTCTCCTGATTTGAGACACTCCCAGTCCACCCCTCTGTGGTGCCATTTAGCTTTGGCCACTCTTTTCTCTCCTCCATTCAATCAACTAAAGCAGTGCCCAGGAATGCTAATGATGTCGAAATAGGATTGTCTCATGGACACACACAGCTCTCTGTGTTCCTCTGGGGCGGTGGGGTGGGGGTTCCTCCCTGTGATAGGAAGCCCAGTGAGTCACAAGGGGAGGCTCTTCCTACCAGTGGACCCATGCCTGGGCCTGCCCTGCCTGTTAATTCTATTCAGATCAGTTGTTGAGCCCTGCCCAACTCCTGCCCAGTATAGGAGTGAATTTCTCCAATTAAGTATAGGTGCCAGGAAGAGGCTGGCAGAGCCAGGAACCTCCAGGAGTCCATTCAGGCCCAATCTCCTTTAAGTCCTCACTGTTCAGACCCATTTTGTAAAACTGGTCTTCTGCCTCCTTCCTGCTCACTAATCCCATTTGTTACTGAGAGTGACACCTGATTGCCAACTTGCTTGGTTGGGGCAGTAGCTCCTTGACAGTGACTTCCACCAGGGGTAGGGCTAGACCTTTGTGCCTGCAGCTGTTTGGATGAGACAGATCTGGATCCACCTTGCTCCTGTCCCCACCTGAGGCTGGGCATGCACATCCCTTGTGCTTCTGCCACCACCACACACACAGGAGTCCTGATGAACAGAGTCCTGCTCGGGAAAGCTGTATCTTGCCAGCTCGCTTGAACACTGTGGTTAGCTCACCTTTCTTCATGGTACCCAGGCTTAAGGCAGAGACAGGCTTCAATCTTGGCATTATTTTAAGCAACTAACAGGGTGGAGCCACTTCTTATATCAGAATCATTGGACATCACTGAGCCATGGATGGTGCAAGTGATTTTCCTCATCGTAGTGAATCTTAACTTTGGAATCCTCAGAGAGCTCCAGGAACTATAACTCCAACCCTAGACTTCCCATCATTCGAAATGCCATGCTGAAGCTTTTGGGGGGTCTTCAGCTATCTCAGGCCAGTCATTATGAGAACAAAGAAAGCGATTAAAGAAAGAATTTTTAGGGTTATGGCAGTGATGGAGAAAGAGTGCGAGCTAATGGAAGAAATTTGGCATTTTACCTGGCATATAATAGTTTTCCCCTTCACTGTATACATATGTGTGTATCTATATCTATATATATAGATAGATACATATAGCTATATTAATATATCTGTGTATATAGATACATATACACAAACATGCACACAGAGGTCTTCATAAAGTTTTAGAAAATCCATATGAATAGCTGCATGGATTTCAATTTCTTGGAATATATATATATATATACACACACACACATACATTATTTCTTATGTATTTTATTCTAATCATAAAAGTATATAATCTATTTGTAATTTAATTCATTGTACCATTGAGTATATTCCTGATGGGAGAGAACTTTGTGAAGACATGAATGAGAATTAAAGTCTTTCCTTAAATTTTTTAAACACTTTTTTTGGTTGTTGAAATGTGACATCCCTACAGGAAAGTGAACAAATCTTAAGCAGCAAGCTTGATTGATTCTTATCTTGATGTATTCTAAAGCCAGAATCTACCTGCATAGTAATCTGTCAGATCAAGTTGTTGATAATTACACAAGGTATCCAGTGCTCTCTGACTTCTATTACTAAAGATTTGTTTTGTTTGCTTATGAAATTCATATAATAGAATCATACAATGATGTCCTTTTGTGTCTGACATTTTCCTTCTGTCTAAAGAGTCATACATTTCACATGAGTCATAGGCCCTATCTGTGACAACCATTCGCATTTTGTGTAGCAATAGTTTAATCTTTGTTCCCATATAATGTTCCATCTGTGAATGTATCCCACTTTATCCTTCCTACTGAGCCTGTGCTGTAGGGTATTTGAGTATATTAATAGATATATCAGTTCACATGTCTTATTCACCCCTGGCCCTATACCTTTGTGTCATGACATTGAGTGAGTCAGCACGACTTGTAGATTCTGCATGGAAATAACAGTACACAAAAGTGAGTGTGAACATATAAATAAATTTCATTAAAACTCAGTAAATATATATATAAGTACATATATTCCTATATATAATATATGTATATATGATATATACATATGTGTATATATAGAATATATTCCTAACTCACATTCCTCTTACCCAAATAGGAGAAAATGCCAGTAGCAACTCTAATTGTTCCTGACATGGAGGGAAATTAGATGGAAAGAGTGTCAGAGTAAAACTGAAAGTGATTGGGAGCCTATGTCTTATTTTGGACACTGTATTTCCCAATATTTTAGCCCCCTGTTGCAAATTGTTCAAGATGGCTAAGTCAGTACATTGTAAGGACCCTTTTTAGGTCATGGAAGGAGCTCCTGTAAATGAGGATTTCTAAAGCTGAGGCTTCATTAGCTTCCTGGAAAGTCCATCTCTGAGTGGGAAATGATGTGATTCCATTGGGAGCCAGCCTGCCATTAAAGGCTTGCTTTACCTTCTAGGATTGGTCTAACATGGTCACCTTCTCTTGGTCCAGGGAAGATGAGGAAGGTGATAGATCATCTCCTTGGACGTTAAGGAAAATGGTTCAGAGAAGTCATGCAACCCAGAGAGCAAGCAACATTCCATCAAAGGGCTGGGGGAATGGAGACAACACCCCGCCGAGTCTTTCCAGATCTTAGACCCTGCCCCACTGTGGAGGAGATTCTAGTTTTGTTGCTTCTATCCCTGTACTTCTGTGCTGCCTGAACCAGCCTCCTCTGCCCCAGCGACTGAGCAGACCTCAGCCTGCCTGTGGAGTTGGGAGTGGTGCTAGATCTAAGGAAGGGCACCATTTCTGTGGAGGGATGGATGAGTGGACAGGGCTGTGCGCAGGACCCAGGAGTCACTTCTGTCTTCTCTTTACTAGACCAATCCCTCCCCAAGAACCAGAAGGCAGCTTGCTCCTCACCGTCCACAGCTCATGTTCTTATAATGGCCATTTTGAAGATGACAATCAGGACTAAGCAGATGCAGACCGCTGCGATGATCCCCAGTATCAATAAAAACTGGTTAGTGTTTGCAGTCTTCATTGTTGGTACTAAAACAAAAAGCACAAACCCTGTCAAACATAAAATGAGACCTTCCCCTTTGCTGCTCTCCCCAGGAAGCCGTTGGTGCCCACATTTTGGCTGAGTCATTATGTGACTATTATTCTTCCAGTTCCTAGGATATAAAGATGAGACTGGTGGTGTCCTGTTCTCACGGGACTCATTTCTACTGATGTAGACAGCCAAGATCCATCCAGTTGCCACACCACTTGACATATTTACTGTGGGTAGAGTGTTTAAGAGGATGACACCATGATTAGGGCTTAATTCTGACTGGGGAAGTTGATGAAGGCTCCATGAGAAGTGACATTGGAACTGGCTGAAGAGTAACTGTCACAGAGGCAGAAGGAAGGCGAGGAAGTTTCAGTGGTCACACACACTTGGGGGCCATTTCCCAGACCATTTAGTGTAAGATGGCCGGTTAAAGAGGGAAGGGGATTCTATACAGAGGAAGAAACAGTGGGAGGTGAGATGGTGGGAAATCCTTGAGGCAGTCACTGACCCTCTACACATGAACCCCACCAAGAATCAATCCATCAAGTTTTCCATCGCACACACACATACTGACATCCACAGGGGGAAGGCATTAAGGCCTTTAAAGAGTCACCACCTCCTCCTCACCCTGCTCAGGTACCTCCGGGTAACTCAGTGGCCTACCTGGCATCTCCTCCCAGTGCTCTAAGAATTCTTTGAACCAGTGATTGCAATCCCCCAATGAGATCTTCCGCAAAAACTCTGCCAGGTCCCTGTTCTTCTCCCACTTCTCCTTGAGCTCTCCGTCCTTGGTATTAACTGTGGTCCAGTTCATGTTCATTGCATCAAAAATCAGGAACATCTTCCTCTCGATGCTGCTGAACTGCCAGGTCGCACCAGTGCTCTGTTCTCCTTTGCGATGGCAAAGCATCGTGGCCAGCAGGCTAGGCAGATCTGCAATCAACACACGAAGCATCATTCCTGACTCTGACAAATCCATCACCTCCCAGCAGGGCAAGTGCTTCTCTGCACATTTAGGGGCCCATATTCCTTTCTCCCTGACTTGCCTTCTCCTGCTCATTTGGTCCCAGGTGTCTCTAAGGTTGTGCCTATGTCCAGCTCTTTTACACAACTACTTCCAAAGCCGCCTCCACCAGACCCCCTGTCTGTGTCCCCACCCCGTGCCATGCTCACCTCTGGTTTTGTTTTCCTGCAGTGTGACATCAGGTAGGATCATCCTGAGCTCTTGCCCGACTTCTCCCAGTGTTTGGGTCAATTGTTCCCAGGCTTTGGTGGCATTGACCTGCTCTCCCAGAGCCCCCAAAGGTTTGACCCTATTGCTGTTGCTGTCATATTGGAGGAAAGGTGCTGTATCCACTGAGCCCTGCACTACAAACCAGGGCTGTCCAGGACTGGCCCGAGATCTGACAGTGAATTCCAGGCAAAGAGAGTGAGCATCTATGAGAGAAAAAACAAGGAGAAGGACTGGGACAGGGAGAAAATGGTCATTGGACCCCACACATCTGTGAGCCCTAGACTCCTTCTCATTGGTCTGGCCAGCAGAGGCAGGAGTTTCTATCCTAGACCCCCTCAATCTTCTGGACCCTTAGCCCTGTCTCACCTTGAGCTGGGTGGGGTTAATGAGATGCTTTGATGCCCCCATGGACTCCTTGGGCCCCTGTCAGGAGGGTTCATCTGACAATTATTTTTAGTGACATCTGTCAGGTTCTGATGTGCAAATTACAAGACAGGGTCTCCCTGATACTTAAAACAGTGGAACAGAAGGGATTTTTCAACAGATAGGAAAAGCAGGCATCACAGGACACAGGAAAGATGCATCATGAGTCCCAGGAGTCCAGGAAAAAAAAGCTCCTGGCAGTAGAGAGAGAGCTGCCACATGTGAGCTCTGTGTCTGCCAGGGTGCCATGAGCCAACTGTCTGTAACACCCTTTCCAGCAAAACCATGCCTTCCCTCCCATCTTGAAGATGAGGTGTCCACCTGCTTGGGACCTGCTAGGAGCACCAATCTCCTTTATACTCTCTTCGTGTTTCTCCCCCTTCCCTCCTCCTCAGCCAGGTCTTGCAACCCCAGGGCACTCACAGTTCCGAGACAGCAGCACTGGCTGCCAAAGACTTGCAGGGTACGCCAGAGACATTCTGCAGAGAGCGGCAAGTACAACGTAGTTGAATGCATGCATAGCCAACCTCTTCTCTTCCATGGTGTGGGCTCGGGCCAGTCTGTATCCTTGAAACACTGATGACCTACCTGTTGAAATCCAAATGAAGAGAAGTTTTGTTGAGGGGGAGTTTTGTAAGCATCAACACATAAATACTAAGAACCAGAAAAGGACTAGTAGGTGGCCATTGTGGTGCACCAGGTTAAGCCTTTGCACAGGACCCCCACGTGGTATATCAGACTGTCTGAGATCAAGTCCTGCTTTCAGTTTTTTAAAAAGCATTCATTTTATTTATTTGAAAGGTAGAGTTACACAGAGCAGAGAAGAGATGGGGGGTGGTGGAGAGAGAGGGGTCTTCTGTCTGTTGGTTTACTCCTCCAATAGATGCAATGGCCAGGGCTGCGCCAGTCTGAAGCCAGGATCCAGGAGCATCTTCCAGATCTCCCATATGGGTGCAGAGGCCCAAACACTTGGTTCATCTTCCTATGCTTTATCAGGCACATAAGCAGGGAGCTGGACTGGAAGTGCAGCAACCAGATTGGAACTGGTACCCGTATGTGATGCTGGCACTGCAGGCAGAGGCTTAACCTGATGTGCCACAACACTGGCCCCATGCTTTCACTTCTAATCCAGCTTCCTGTTAATGTGCATATATTAGCCTTTTCTGTTGCTGGCATTATTTGGGGGAAATGAATCAATAGATTGAAAATTTCTGCCTATCTCCATCTCTCTCTTTGTCACTATGCCCTTCAAATAAAAATAAATAAATAAAACTTTTAATAAAAAGCATTAAAGAAAAGGAGACATTAAAAAACAAAGTTCAGTTTGAGAAACCTCTCTCCTCTCTCATCATCACTTCAAATCACCTTCTGGGAGGCGCAGGATTGCTGTTATGTGAGCGTCTTTGTTCTGCCCTCCTTCCCCCAACTTCCCCTCCTCCCCTCCCCTCTCTTCCTCTTCTCTCCTTTTCCCTCCCCCCCTCCTACCCTCTCTTCTCTCCCATCTCCATGTTTCTCCCATGTTCACGCCGCCTCTCCCACCACCCCTCTCCCATTCTAACCCTTCTCTCTGACATGAGTGTACAAGTGCAGCCCAGTGTTACTCCCACTCGCTGATGCCCTGCAGCCACTGGTCTCCCATCGCGGATGGGCCACATCACAGGGTCCAGCAGAACCCAGACCTCAAGAAGCACCGAGTGGTTCATCAGTAGGAAGGGTCCTGGGCTCTGATTTGGAATTCTGGAACTTAGTAGAAGTTAACGCTTCAGCGTAGCTTTGGACTTTCCACCTGAGGTTTCCTCTTAACGTTTTATGGCTTTGCTCCCTTTCCCCCTCACTTTTACAGATGTTCCATGTTTGCATTTTATCCCCCACTCTGAGTCAGCCCCAGCCACTCTCACAGGATACCCCAGACCGGAAGCCTTAAACAACAAACCTCCGCTGCTCACAGTTCTGGAGGCTGGGAAATCCAAGGTCAAGGAGCCGGCAGATCAAGTGGATGTCCAGGGCACTCTCTGGTGTGCTGACAGGTGTCTTATACTTTCTCCTGGTAGAGAGACATGAACGAAACCTCCTGAGTCACGCAGGCTCCATCCGTTTACCCAGTCCTGTTGTGAAAGCTCTGTGCAGTGCATGCCCGTTGCAGAGATTCCTGCACAGGAACTGGTTCAGACACGGTAACACCACCCGTGACTCATGCCATGTTTGAGCTCCACCCTGTGCCAGGGATCCCGGTGGTTACTTGAAGTGTAAGACCTGTTTGGTGATACCCTGGGGCAGACCAGGGGCTCTCATCATGCTCTCAAGGGCTCTCATTCTGGGAGTGTGAATGGGCGGCTTTCTTTAACTCAACCAAACAGACCGCAAAGTTGAATAAGGGTGAGCAGAGCCTGGAGAGGGGAGAGGGGAGGGAAGGATGGGATGGGGAGAGGTGGGTCAGGGGGACAAAGTCGCAGTTAGACAGAGGGAATGTGTGCTGATACTCTGTGGTAGAGCAGGGTGACAGCAGGCAATACCATGTTCGGTGTACTTCAAAGTAGTTGCGAGGGTAGACTTGCAATGTTTCACCTCAAAGGAATGATAAATGTAGTGGACAGACTAGTTACCTTGATTTGATCATCACACAATGTATCAAAGTGTTGTATCATACCCCGTCAATTTATGCAATTATGTCAACTAAAAATAAAATAAAATTTGAGGAAGATGGCGGCGGGGGGCGAGGTGAGGTGTTGGCGGTAGAAAGGGGTTCGGGCACGGGGCGGGGGTGGGGGGACCCGGAGCGATGGCCCGCGCGGTCGCCGGGGCGGATAAAAAGCCGTCGCGCCGCGGGTGTGGGAGGGAGGGAGGGGAAGGGGCCCGAGCGCCACAAGAGTATGACGGGGCTGTACGAACTGGTGCGGCGGGTGCTGCACGCGCAGCTCTGCCTGCACCGCACGCTCACCTCCGCGTTCGCGTTCGGTTCGGCACCTAGAACTGGATCTGGCGGCGCTGCTGTCGCGCCGCCTCCGCTGCGGTCCTAGCGCCGCTCGGCTTCACGCTCCGCAAGCCTCGGGCCTTGGCAGGAACCACCGGCACTACCGGCACCCGCGCTGGGGCCGGGTCTGGCCTCCGCCCACCCCCGGCTGCGCTGGCGCGCGGACGGCAGTTCCCTGGACAAGCTGCCTGTGCACTTGGGCTTCGTGATCACCGAGGAGGAGCCGGAGCCCAGCTTCTCGGACATCGCGAGCCTCGTAGTGTGGTGTATGGCCGTGGGCATCTCCTACATTAGCGTCTACGACCACCAAGGTATTTTCAAAAGAAACAAGTCCAGACTGATGGATGAAATTTTAAAACAGCAACAGGAACTTCTGGGCCTGGATTGTTCCAAATACTCAACAGGGTTTGCAAATAGTAATGACAAAGATGATCAAGTTTTAAATTGCCATTCAGCAGTGCAGGTGCTGTCCCCAGAAGGTGGAAAAGCAGATATTGTGAGAGCTGCTCAGGACTTTTGCCAGTTAGTAGCCCAGCAGCAGAAGAAATCCACAGATTTGCATGTAGATATGTTAGACAGTTTACTTAGTTCAAATGGTTTCCCTGATCCTGATTTAGTATTGAAGTTTGGTCCTGTGGACAGCACATTAGGCTTTCTTCCCCTGGCACATCAGATGGACTGAGATTGTCTCTTTGCCTTCCCACCTAAACATCAGTTATGAGGACTTTTTCTCTGCCCTTCGTCAATATGCAGCCTGCGAACAACGTCTGGGAAAGTAGTCATCCCTGGTTGTGTAATTTGATTTCAGGCTTTTGGAGAAAAGGACCCAAGTGACTCTGATGTTTA